GCCGCCATCCTGGCTCCGCCCCAATGAGCTTTTCTACTCTTTTCCCTGGTCCTCATACTGTCAGAGTTGAAGCTGAGCCAGTGGGAGATAGGCAGAATAAGTGTCAGCAGGCTGGAGGTCCAGGAGGACACTTGGGCCAGTTTGCTGGAAGAAGCCAAGTATACAGAATGTGCTAGAAAGTTCAGCCCTTCCTAGTTGGGCCTGCCTCCTTTGGAAAATTATCCTAACCAGCTGGACTGTCTTCCTTGAGAAACTCCCATTTATGTGGATCACGAGTGTCGTCTTAGTCTTATGAAATGCCTTAAAGCTTGTTTATGATACCCAGACTGATAACTAGCTGCATGATGAATTTCCTCCAGGATGTATTGATGAGCCCCTAGAAGGATCTCCAGAAAATTGTCTCAGACCTTTCTGATAGCATATATTACTGAGGAAGGTTGGTTCATTCATTCATTCAACAAATATTTGTTGAACATTTACAGTTGGACCCTGTTACAGATGCTGAAGATACAGCTTTCCTTCCAGTTTGGAAGCTAGAGGGAGAGAGGCATTAAATAAAATAAGTAAGTAGATTTTATAGTTTATTAAAAGTTGGTAAGTGGAATGGAGAAAAAATAGCAAAGAGGAGTGGGAAATGCTTAAAGTGGAGTACAATTTAAAATTTGGTGACGGGGAAGGGCTTCATTGAGAAGGTGATATGTGAGTAAAGATTTGAAGGCATGGGCAAAGCCACGAGGCTTTTTGAGGGAAGGGACAACATTCTTGGCCAAGGGGACAACAAGAGGCAGGGGTGCTGGGGGCATAGCCAGGAGGCCTATTTGGCCAGAGTGGGCATGGGATCAGATCCTCAGATGTTGTAGTCTTTTATAGGAACTTTAGTTCTAATCAGAGATGGGAACTCAATACAGCATTTTAAGCAGGGTAGTGACATGATCTCTAACTTATATTTTAATAGTGATTTAGTGAAGAGATGATGGCTTAGAGCAGGGTCATAATGGTGGATGTGGTGTGACATACTGGATTCTTCATTTGTTTTGAAGGATTTCCTGATGTACTAGTTGAGTGTGGAAGAAAGAGGAGGTGAGGATGACACAGATTTTTTTGGCCTGAGCAAGTAGAAGGTGGGATTGCCATCAAATGAGATGGAGCAAGACTTTGAGTGGAGCGTTTTAGGGGGAGATCATATCATCTTTGGTGTGTTCATTGAGATGTCTTATAGGTAGCCAGACGGAGATGTCAAGTAGGCAGCAGGCTGTTTGAGTCTTAAGTTTCTGGAGGAGGTACCAGCTAGAGGTCTACATTTGTAGATTTGGAAGCATATAAATAATATTTAAAGCCATGAGGTTAGAATGAGTTGTAGAGAGAGAAGAGAGGAAATCCAAGGACTGTGCTTTAGGTGCTTCGGTGTTTGGAGACGTAGACAAGGAATAAGGAAAGGAGACTGAATGGGAGCAGCCAGTGGGCAGGAGAGAAAGTGTGCTGTGCTGGAAGATGGGTGAAGAGTTTCAGGGATATGTGAGTGGTCCAGTGTGTCAGTGCTGCTGGTCAGTAAGATAAGAACTAAGGATTGGATATTGAATTTGACAGCATGGAGGTGAACCACAGAGTTTTAGCAGAGTGTCAGGAAGTGGATCATGATTTAAATGGGTTTAAAAGAAAGTGGAAGAAAAAAATTGAAAAGAGTAAGCAGAGTCAATCCTGAGGAATTTGGCCATAAATAGGAACTGAGAAATGGCAAGGAACCTGGAGGAGGAGAGTCAAGAGTAGATTTTTTTTAAAGATGTGAGATGGTTAAAAATGATTCAGTAGAGAGGAACATTTTGATGCATCAAGAAGGAGGGGGAGAACTGCTGAAGAGAGAGCTTCAAGTAGGTGAGAAAGAGGGCCAAGCAGAGGGGCTAGTCTTAGGATCACGGACGCCAGAAGGAAGGTTATTGACCGAGGGTGAGGATGGGGGAAAACTGTTAGAGGTTAGAGGAGCAAATATATAGGAGGAGGAGATGAATACAGACTAACACAGCAACGTGTGAGTTCCTGATAGTCACTCAGATGGTGTCTTCTTTCTGATTTCTTGCTTGCCTCTTTCATTTTTTCCCCTAATAGCTAATGTCCAGCATGATTCCAGCATGCAGTAGATGCTTGATAAATATTTGTTAATTTCATAACTGAAATAATATCCACCTCTATTTCAATTATAGCTGACCCTGCATTGTACTTTATTTTTCTAAGCACCTTGCCCATTTCATCCTCCCAGCAACAGCATGTGTGGTATTAGAGCACAGATCAGATGGGGTCACCAAGGCAGTGATAAGTAGGTATTGCTAGCGATAAAAGAGATTTTTAAAAGGTTCCATAACCGGCCTGAGGTTAGTCAGCCATTAGAGGACAGTGCAGAGATGTGAATCCCGGCCTGTGTGACTCTCAAGTCCTAGCCTGTAACCTCTGCCCCAGAGTTCATCTTGTCTACCCTCTTCATCTGTGCTGAGAGACAACTTGCAGCCCAGATTGCCTATCACATGTGTCAAAGCTAAGACTGCAATCAACTTCTCTCCCAGTATAATACCCCTTCCACTACCATTCCCAAGATTCATCAGACTTGGGGATCTGTCTGCAGTCCAGTTCCAATTCCTAGTAGCTGTATTCTAACAGGCCTCAGCAACAGACTTTCGTTTTGGGGCTCCAGCTTGCACTGACACGGCCATCCAGGAGAGGGCACACACGTGTGTGTAAACAGGCCTGCCCCACCCACAGGCTCTATCAGACTTGTTCCTGAACCTTCAGCCTGAAGCCACAGTGCCTGATTCTTCAGAGAATGTTTGTTTAAAGCAGTGGTTTTCAAGTGGCAATTTTGTCCCCAGGTGGCATTTGGCAATGTCTGGAGACATTCTGGGTTGTCATAACTGGAGGAAGGGAGGGACGATGCTCCTGGCATCTGGTAGGCAGAGGTCAGGGATGCTACTAAAACATCCTACAGTGCACAGGACAACTCACCCCAACACCAGCAACAAATTATCTGGTCCAAAATGTCAGTTGGTGTGTTGAGAGGTTGAAAAATGCTGCCTTAAGAAAAGACTATAAGCAGCCTGGTATAACTGAGCCAAAGGAACAAATAGAAGATTGCCTCAAAATACAAAAACAACTGTGTGACCTGTCAAGAATAACTTATGGGTTATGCTTCTTTGGGGAAAGCCAGGGATTGAGTGCACTGCAGATCGTGACTTACTGCTTTAGCTGCTCTCCACAAGCTGGCTGTTGCCATCAGTGTGCCCAGCTGGAATATGTGAATGTGCCCTTCCCAGAGGGCAACTAAGAGGAAAGAACATCTCTCTTTAGCATCCAGGGCCTCTCCACTTATCTATCATCTGTCAAGGAAAGTGTTTCTCCTGTTATGTGGAAAAGTTGTACACCCCAAAATTATTTGGGATGTTGTAGACCTGTCCTTGAAAAATCAGTCTATCCCCAGGAAGGAGCAGTGTGCTTGCTGGCTGGCCCTGGTCACCTCTGATATTCCGTGGAGTGGTTCTCCTAGTCTCCACTGGCCTGATCTACCTAAGCATGCATGTTAGTTGTGAGGGGTCACGTCCTTTGACATTGGGAGTGCTTTTCTGAAACACAACCATTTTGGAAAAGCATAAACATTTATTAGTGCCTTATCTGAAGCAGAGATTGCCTCCAAGCCAGAATGTACCCACTGCTTGATAAAATATTAACTTCTCTCTGTAAATCAAGCTGCTGCACTATTTCTCACAAGGTGACTCTTGTTCAGCAGAACTACAACCAGCCTAGTCTGTGGAATCAGACTTCTCCACAGAATGATTATCTTCTCCCACTTGCTTTGTATAAACCCTATGTGAATGTCTAAAGACCTGTGAATTATGAGCCAAAAATCAATTTATGGCTATGAAAGGAAATATGAAATTCTCTTTAAATGTTCAAGTCATAGATTTTGTCAAAGACCAAAGTGCCCATCTTCTTACTTAAAATAGTTTATTTAAAATATGTAGCATAGGACATCTAGAAATCAAATATAGCCATGGAGCTGGGATTTGGATTTACCAAATCCAAATAGCATTGAATTGAATTGCGGAGTTAATTTGAGGGCTTCCTTTAATGAGGGAAAATAAAAGAGGGTATAGCCATGAAGTGATAAGGCACTACCTTGCTGGCCTTGGTTTAATATGGTATCATGCTTCTGAAATTTAATAACTGTAATAATAACCATTTTTACAGAGTGATTATTTCTAAGGACCAGGCCCTATATTAAGCACTTGCCAGGTAATTTCTCTCAGACTACCACCAGGAAATGGGTATTATAGATAAAGAGGTAAAATAGCTTGCCCCAATCTACCCAAGCAGGGATAAAGCTGAGATCTGAACCTAAACGGTTAACACTGAGGCCCAGTACACATTTTAAATGTGCTAGAAGAGTTTGCTTTTGAAATGAAATTGGAAATGAATTCCTTTGAAAAATGAAGATCCCTGTCTCTCCCAAGAAGTCTAAATTTTTGGTGAGGTGGGATTCCATAACACTGTCCCAACAGGTCTGTGGGGTTTCATCAACACATTTTATTTGCATCACAAAGTGGTATAGTAGAAAAAACATGGGTATTATATATATATATATATATATACCTCCAGATTTATATTCTTCCATTAATCATGAGCATTGAGACTTGACAAAAATTATTTGACTCTTCCAAACCTCCGTTTTCCTATCTACAAAGTGGGATGAGTATTAAGGTACAGGCCAAGTGCCATGCAAAGTGCCTACCAGTCATTGTAATTATCATTGTTGATATTATTCATAAGTTAAATGTATGTTCTCAATTTTCAGTTTTTGCTCTGAAAATCTTAAATTATGGTGGATGCTTCAAATTTTACTTTGGCATCCATGTTTCATGTAATGCCAAAGACCAGGCAGAAGGAAACATGGCTGGTTGAACTATCTCACAAGCTTAGGAAAACATTGGTGTAAAATATGTTTTTGTTTTAAACTTCAGGAGCTGCGCAGGTTATTGAAGGTGGCCAAGTGGAATATAAGCCTCTTTCGGGCATTCGATATATGTGGTGGTACCACTTAATTGGCCTCATCTGGACTAGTGAATTCATCCTTGCGTGCCAGCAAATGACTATAGCTGGGGCCGTGGTTACTTGTTATTTCAACAGGTAGGTCTAGTGTGTGACTCCTATTGATTTGTTGATGTGCTTCATGTTGTGTATCTCAAAAAATATTTTGGAGTTTTGACCTGACCGCTTACAAGGGATTGGCAAGAGTAAGACTACACTAAAAACTGGGTAGTATGTTTATTTGATAGTGAAAAGAAATAGCATACCTGAAATCCGTCATATTTCCAAGCTCTTTTGCTTTAAGCTAGAAAATTCAGAAGAAGCCAAACAGGAAAGTAATCATACTACTTGGAAGTAAAACATATCTGAAAGGAAAGGTTGATTTCTGTAAATATCCATTCTTACTGATTTCAAACTTAAACAAATTACTGATATACTGGGAACTCACTTCAGTAGGTTCTGTGAGCATAATTTTATCCCATGTAAAATGAGGAGAGTGTGTTCTCAGAAAATATTTTAAATACTTTTAAATTTTTAAAAAAATTATTGATATAAGAATTTATAGAGAATTTTATATAACTATGAAATATAATTTGTATTCATCTAGTTAAATGCTAGTGTATTAATTGCTTGCTTCTGTGTTCACCATAGTACTTAAGTGTACTTAAGTACACCCCATTGCCTCATCAAAATAGTTAAGGACACATACACAGCCCTCCCCCCTTACCTCTTTTGTGTGTGTGACTCTGTGGGGTCAAAGCTAAAACTATAGGTAAGAAGAGCACAGGCAGGACAATGACAAGGTTGGACTCAGAACAGAAAGTTTACTCCAGACAGGGCTGATCCTCCTCTAACTCTCAGACCAAATAAGCAGATGAGCATGAGTGTTTGGTGGGTAAAAGAAAGTAAACCAGCGCAGTGCCTCATGCTGACGGGCAGTCACCTCCCGACAGCAGGGAGCACAGTGGGTTTTGATCCGGTGGCGCTGTTTGGGAGCCTCCATCAGTGGACAGTCTGTAGGACAAGCAAAGGGGCTGTAGCCCTTGGCATTGAGAACCTCTGAGCCCCTGGAGGTGGGCAGTGTGTGCTGCCTGCTTCTGAGTAGGAGAGCAGAGATTATTCTGACCAAATTGGCCAGCAGGTAACATCTGTCCGACAGTGATTTTGTGCCATCTTAGAATCACAAAACCAAAGTGTTTTCTACGGTTTTGGTTTGGACTTCCTGTGAAGCATGTGTATTTTCTAACCTGTCCCCCGACTCTAATTCCCTTCCCCCAAATCATGAAAGAACAAAAAAGGCATAAACACATAAGGACAGTAGGAAACAGAGGTAGTTACAGCAGAAAAGAAAAACCAAATTTTGAAAGCTGAAGAGGGGATGGATGAGTGGTGAATTTGAGCAAGCTGGAGAAACCTAAAAAGGCTATCTGCGTATGTTGGGTGTGAGAGGAGGTGAAAATAAGTTGCAGGTTGATCTGAGCCACAAAAACCCAGAGAGGCTCAGGAATTCAAGTGTGAACTATACTTCTAAAATTAGTTAAAGGTCTTCCTAAAGAGCAGTTAGGACTCAGGGCCCCTCCTCTGTACCAGCAGAAGACAGGAGCTTTGCTCTCTGGTGAGGTAAATCAGAAAGGGTCTGGACTTGAAGAATCTGGCTCAGCTGAGGCTGGAGGAAAGGCTTTGTACTGAAAGAAGAGGCAACTGAATAGTGAGGGAGCCCACTACCACCACCAGCCTGCATTCCACAGCTGAGCTCCCAGGATGGTAACGGCCAGGTTGATATCCCCAAGGCAGGAGATTAGAGGATTCTTCTTTGGAGAAATTGTCTAACCCAAAGTGAAGACCTACAGATAGTGCCATATGGGGTCCCCCCAGTGAGCTCTCTGAACCAGATAGTGAGACTCACCAGTCCATAGTCATGCCTTATACGGAGCTTCCAGTTCACTTTTTAGTGCCTCTCCCTTAAATGTGAGCTGGTAGCCAGTGATTATTAAACATTTGAAGAAAGACTGCTGAAAAAAGAGATCAACATGAACAAAACAAACAAAAGGAATGAGGGGAAATAGTGACAATAAAGGCAGCAGAAAAAAGCTGTAGAAAAAAAGGAACTCTAATATCCTCAGAAAGAACGAAGAAATACTGCATCCATGAAATAAGAACCATAAAAAAGGAACAGTGAGAAAACAAGAAAGACCTCTTAGTAATTAAAAATATGATTGCAAAAGTGAAAATTTTCTATTGAAGGATTATAATACAAAAATCAAAGAACTCTTCCAGAAGGTAAAGCAAAAAGACAAAGAGATGGAAAGTAGGAGAGAAAGGATAAAAAGTTAGAGGATGAATTTAGGAGACCAAACATCTGACTGTTCTTATATGTTCTATAAACAGAGAATAAAGAAAAAGACGGGAAGAAACTATTGGAAAAATATTCAGAGCTTCATGACCTAAGAGAAGATCCCAGAAGCTTCTGAAGGGAAAAACAGATCACAGGCAAAGGGTCAAGAACTACAGTCGCATCTAGAGTTGCAATAGTAACTCTGAATCAGGAACACAGTGGAGCAAGTCTGTTAAAATTCTACAGAAAGATTATTGCCAACCTAGAATTATTTTCTTATTCATACTGTCAACCAAGGGTAAAGAAGAATAAAGTCATTTTCAGACATGCAAAAAAATATTTCCCTCTCCACATCCTTTTCTTAAGAAGGATGTTCTGTACTGAAACAAGTGAGTAAGTAAGCCAGGGAGAAAAACATGAGTTTCGGGAAATGGGCTGCAACACAGTAAAGAAGAAAAGGAACTCCTTGGAGGGTAGCTGTGCAGCAGGTGTGGAGAACATCCAGTGGTAGGAGGAACAGGACAGCATTAGGCTCCACGAAGGATGGCTCCAAGAAAAGGAAGGAAACCAAGAGATTACCACATGTGTTGAAACATGTAGAGGAAGATTTACACTTTAGTGAAGCATTTGGTGAAACCTATGGAAAACTAAGCAAATAAAAAATGTGAAAAATTAATTTCAGGAAAAAACAGAAGTTGTGCTGGGAACAAAATATAACCAAAATACATAATGTTATTTATGTACTGATAATGTAAACACTAAACATTAAATATGCTCACCAGCAAAAGGTTGAAAGTTTTTCCTCTACAATCAGGAACAAGACAAAAGTGGCCACTCTCACAACTGCTATTCCACCTAGTACTGGAAATCCTACCCAGAGCAATCTGACAAGAAATGAAATAAAAAGCACCAAAATCGGAAAGGAAGAAGTTACATTGTCATTGTTTGCAGATGATATGATCTTATATATAGAAATCCTAAAAATTCCACCAAAAAACTGTTAGGACTAGTCAATGAATTTAGTAAATTTCAGGACACAATATCAACATACAGAAAATAGTTGCACTTTTATACTTCAATAACAAAACATATGAATAAAGAAATAAAGAAAGCAATCCCATTAACAATAGCTTCAAAAACAATAAAATACTTAGAAATAAATTTAACCAGGAGGTAAAATCTGAATCCTGAAACCGACAAGACTTTCATGAAAGAAATTAAGGAAGACACAAACAAGTGAAAAGATAACCCATGTTTGTGGGTTGGAAGAATTCATATTGTTAAAGTTGCCATACTATCCAAAGACATCTCTAGATTCAATTCATTTCCTATCAAAATTCCAATGACACTTTTTTTCACAGAAATTTTTTTAAAAACCTGAAATTGGTATGGAAAAACAAAAGGTCATAAATAGCCAAACCAATCCTACAAAAGAACAACAAACCTGTGGTATCTCACTTCCTGATTCCAAACTATACTACAAAGCTATAGTTAGCAAAAAAATATGATACTGGCATATAAATAGACACATAGATAAATGGAACAGAGTGAGAAGGAAAGGATAGTTGCAAAAAATGTATAATCACGTACAGAAAAATGAAATTAGACCCTATCTTATACCACTCACAATAATTAATTCAAAATTGTTTTAAGTCTTAAACATAACTGAAACTATAAAATTCCTGGAAGAAAACATAAGGAAAAACCTCCTTCACACTGATCTTGGCAACAATTTTTTTACTATAATATCAAACACACAAGCAACAAAAGCAAAATTCAGTATGTGAGCCTACATCAAACTGAAAAGCTCTGCACAGTAAAAGAAACTATCAGCAAAACAAAAGTCAACCTATGGAATGGGAGAAAATATTTGCAAATCATATATCTGATAAAGGGTTAATACCTGAAATATATAAAGAGCACATACAATTCAATAGACCCCCCCCATAAAAATCCACTTAAAAAGTCAGCAGTAAATAGACATTTTTCAAAAAAAAACTACAGATGGCCAACAGGTACACAAAAACATGCTCAACATGACTAAACTTCAGGAAAATGCAAATCAAAACCACAACAAGATATCACCTCACACTTGTTAGAATGGCTGTCATCAAAAAGATGAGATAATAAGCATCATCAAGGATATAGGGAAAAGAAAACCCTTGTGCATTGTTGGTAAGAACATAAATTGTTATAGCCAGTATGGAAAAAATACAGAGGTTTTTCAAAAAAATTAAAAAGAGAACTACCATATGATCCAGCAATTTCACTGCTGGTCATATAGCCAAAGGAGATAAAAACAGGATCTCCAAGAGATATCTACATTCTCATGTTCATTGCAACATTATTCACTATATGGAAAAATACCTAAGTGCTCATCAATAGACAAATGGATAAAGTAGTGCTATATATGGTCAATGGAATATCATTAAGCCACAAAAAAAGAAGGAAATCCTGTCATTTGTGACAACATGGATAGATCTTGAGGGCATTATGCTAAGTAAAATAAGTCAGAGAAAGACAGATACTGTATCGTATCACTTCTTTGTGGAATTTTAAAAAGCCCAACTCATAGAAACGTAGTAGAATGCTGGTTACCAGGTGCTGGGTAGTGGAAGAAGAAGGGCAATGTCAGTCAAAGGGTACAGATTTCCAGTTAGAAAATGAGTAAGTTCTAGGGACCTAAGATATATCATCATGAACAGGGTTAAAAGCAGTATATATATACTTGAAAGTTGCTAAGAGAGTAGATCCTAAATGTTCTCACCACAAAAAAGAAATGGTAATTATATGATGTGATGGAGGTATTAGCTAATGCTATGGTGGTAATCATTTTGCAGTACATTAGTGTATCAAATAAATTACACACCTTAAACTTACACAGTGTTATATATAGATTATATCTCAATAAAGCTAGGGAAAAACATTAAGAACTTCAATATAATTATATTGAAAAGAAGGGGGATTGGGAAATGAATATGTTGGTCATTTAGGCTATGTTAAGAACTAACACATCTTCCATAGTAGGAAGTCAGCAGACAATACCTGAGGCAGAAAAATCAAGAAATAGCAATGAAAACATGTAATTTAGAAGTGTGGGGGTGAGTTCCAGAAGAAACAGCTAAAATACTACCTCTAGGGAGAGAAAACTAGCAGTGGAAAGGGCAAACTGCTTTTTTCTCCTATTAGCAGTACTATCTGACTTTTTAAGATAGTTCACATATTAACTTTGCGAAAATAAACAACTTCAAGTGCATGATGACTTACTTTTAATATTATTTCATTTGTTAAAGAGTTCTGTATTCCTTTTGACTTTGTGCCTGATTCTGAAACCTCAAGATTTTCCATATCTCAAGGTTCACAATTCTTTAATCTCATGTTCTAGCCTGCACAGGGGGTGAGGATTAGATTTAGCCAGAATGCATTCATCTTTGTCATCCATTTAAGCATTAAGGGGGCTAAAGAATTCATACACGGAGTACCAGGTTATGGCAACCTGTAAAATTTCCCTTTTACAACCATTGCTTGAAGAGGGGTCAACTGAAAGCTATGAAGATGTGGCTGGGGATGTGACAGGAAGCAACTAGAACCAGTCAACTTGGAGAATGGACACTTGAAGCATGACTTCATTGTTGTTTTCAAATGTACAAAAGATGGTTTCCAGCTGCTCTGGGTTCACTGAGGAAGAAGTGAGGAAATGGATTCACAGCGGAGCCTAAGGAATTTAGGAAGAAAGAGAAGAATTTCCTAACCCTGACAAGAGTTGCCGAGGCCAGCTACAGAAGAATCCTGTTCTTCATAATAAAGACGATTTCTCTTTTGTGTAGGATTGGAAAGATGAACCTGACAGCCTCTTCACAGCCTTCTAAACCCCACTTGCAGCAATTGTGCTGAAAGAATATCAGGAAGGGATGCGGTCTCTGCAGGGCCCCTTGGTGCCTTCCCTTGGGATCGGTGACACTGGCAGCCATCCATCCCATGCAGGCCAGTCCTCATTCAGGAGCCTCAGAACAAAATTAATTTACATACTGTTGAGGAGTCCTTAGTGAACACTAGGCTGGATCTAACTAGAGCCGAAACTTGCTTCCAGGGCCCTGAGGTTGCTTGCTTGGCTTTAAGCTCTGTTGTCGGCCAGATGAGAGCTGCACGACAGCACTTGTGTCCCGTGACCCCCAGGTAGTATGGGACTTGGATGGATGGGACCATTAAACCCTTTGCCCAGCGACTGGAATTGATGTGGTGGCCTAGGGCCTTTGCTCCATGTGCCTGAACCAGGCACTGTTAGCACTCAGGGCAGCCACAAGTGTAGAAGGAGGAAGCTGCGCTTGCAGGCACACCCTGGAGTCACCTGCTGTCTCACACTGCCTGCGTCTGCCTGACTGCCACTGCCCCCAGAATTAGGGTGGAAGGTGCTCACCATGCAGTATTCCCTAGAGACAGAAGTGCAGGCCTGATGGGAGACACAGCCTCCTAATATGTTCATCACTGAATTTCCTGATACACCCAACAGTGTATTGCCGTCCTGTAAGCCAATTCTCAAAATACGGTGAAATCCAGAGAGTACTGTTTTAAGCCTCACCAAGTATATTCAGATCCTGCTCCTGAAGGCAGGTTTTGCTGGTTGTAAAGGAGACATAGATGGATGTCCCACCCGTATACATAGCAGGAGAGGGATGACAAGGTGATGTTATCCTTGAACATAGAAAAGGGTCAAGGAGCGAAGGTGGGGGCCTCAAAGGCAGTCCACTTATTTAATTTTTCTGAGCATGATTTCTAGTTTACAGGGCAGGTATGGGGTGACTCCTGGCCCTGTGAGCTGGCCTGGGTTTAAAAGGCCCTCTTTTTCTAAGTCGTCTGTCTTGTCATGTTCTAACCTGGTTTCTGCAACCTCTGTATCTTCTTCCACCCAAGCCCAGGAGAGCCTGCAGTGATAACCAGGATGTGTCATGGACTAGGGCAGTGAAGACAGTGCAGACTCTCATATTCCTGAAATGGTTAATTCCATCCCAGTGAAACCGCAGAGAGCTGCTAACCCCAGACTTCAACCCCTGGAGGGCCAGAACCCAAGGGCCCACTCACAGTGGCCTGTGAATCATCTGCTTCCCAGCAGATGGAAAGCAGGTGTTGTCCTCTTCTCCCTGCATCACCTCTTGAGCACTGTAATAAGCTCTAAGGCACATAAATCTCCTAAATGGAAAAGTAAACATTATTCCTTAAAAAAAAAAAAAAATAAGGAAGGAAAGGGAAAAACTGTGTCAGATTTTCCTGGCCTGTATTACTCTAGTTTATCAGATCAAAATGAATTCATATCAGCAATAGCTTCCCTGGTATTTCCTATTTTCAATAATTTTGAGCTGAAACACATCGCCCTTTTGCGGGGCCAACTGGATGGTAGGCATTCTGCTTCCAATATTACTTTCATGCTCTCTTTTCCTTCCTGGATGACTTAAGTAACAGCAAAATACAGCCGTTGCCAATTCTTGAAACATTTCTGGCTGCATTCCTTTTCCTCCCCCAAAACCTAGGCTCTTGTCAAGACCTTAATTCATAGTGACTTATTAGCAACCAGAGCAAGTTGTAGAATAATCCGTTACGACAAACCAAGCCTCCCTTGGAACGAGGGAAGTTGCTTCTCGGAAAGGACCTCATTTTCTAGAACTGGCATCAGCAGGGATCTGCAGGTCAGAAAGGGGTTGCACCAGCCCTTCGTCCTTTGTTTTATCTTTCAGGTTTGGGGTAGGTTGAAGGCTGTGCCCATTCCGTTCTTTTTCACTCTTTTTCCCTGCCTGTGAAACTGATTTCTACATTCCTGGAAGCTGTGTCATGACAAGTCCCGTAAATGATTCACACTGAACTGACCTTTATAGAGCAGAGTAGAAATCAGCTGAATTTCAGCAGCCCAGAGCTAGGAAGAAGCCCAAACTCTGTGTCCCTTTAAGCTGGAGTCACCGTTATCATTGTAGCTGCCAGTCCTGGTCACGTGGTTTGGTCGTGCTTGCAATCACTAATGCCGGCAATGTTTATGTATGTCGTGTATAATTTAAGCTTTGGACATTAGTGTATTATTAAACTTCTGAAAATAAAAGTGAGAATCATAAGCAGTTTAAAGAACTGGTGGAGGCAGCTTAAAAGAATAGGTGTTGTAGAGAGGGAAACTTGGTTATTTTAACATCAGTGTTTCTTGTTTGATTTGTAGTACTGAGTACCACCAAAAGGTATTAACTTAGTCCAAGAAATAATTTAACCTCAGTCACCAAGGAGTATAAAAATTCTGCCAAATGCTTATTGCATCACTGCTTTATAAATTGTTAGTACTGCTGATGAGTTGAACCAGAGAGAGGTTTTTTGTTTTCTTTTTGAATAGTGTTTTTAAAATGCTGTCTTTGTTTCCTATTCCCAGAAATAAAAATGACCCTCCTGATCACCCAATCCTTTCATCTCTGTCCATTCTTTTCTGCTACCATCAAGGAACAGTTGGAAAAGGGTCATTTTTAATCACTGTGGTGAGGATCCCAAGAACCATTCTCATGTACATGTGTACCACTCTGAAAGGGAAGGTAAGGCAGCACTTAATACATGGCGCGTTTGGTGTCAGAGCCGCAAAAAGGTTAATCACCGGAAAACTACAGCAGGTGCCAGGACAGGAATGTGGACCTGGGACACTGGCCATTCAGAAGGCTCCAGGGTTCAGGTCCCATCCTCCCCCACCCCCACTCCAGCAAGCTTTTTTGGTCCTGGTCTGTTTTATTTATGGTTTTGTTTTTTGGGGGTTTTCCTGTAAAACGTGGTGGAGGTAGGTGGGGGAGGAGTAGTTCTGAGTTTGCTGATTTTCCTTCTTATTCAAATGCTGAAGAAGCAGGAAGAATTCAGATGAAATTTGAACAAGTTGTTGTGGACATTTATCATGCCTTTTTTAAAAGTAAGAAAGTATACTACCAGATAGGAATAATGTTTGTTTCTGGTTTAATTCCCTGCCTTTTGTGTTTCCTAGAGGGTACCATGGGAAGTTACTGGTTTGTGTTTGTGTGTGTGTGTGTGTGTGTGTGAGAGAGAGAGAGAGAGAGAGAGAAATGGCCAAACTGACCTAAATCTCAGCTCAAGAGACAGAAAACTGTAGGGCTTTTGTGCCTGGGTTTTTCTCTCCTCCCTGGTTTTTATTTCCATGCACATTTGGTTCTGAATACCAGTGGAAACCAGAACACCAGGAAAACAGCTGTTCTGGTATTTTGGTCTGCCAAGCAAGGGGAGGTTGGCCTTTTCCCAACTGTTCTGTTCTCACACTGTGTTACTCTCTCCCCCATCCCCACCTCAGTGTTGGTGACTTGGTGAGAGCTTCACAGATTTTCCTGATTCCAACCTTGTGTCCTTAGCAAATTGGAGAGATTTTATTATATTCATTATATTGGAGAGATTTTATTATATTCATTATATTATATTCACACAGATTCATTATTATATTTTAGAATTATTTCTGTTTGCTTTTTAAAGCAGAAGTCTGAACTGTTGATTTTTTTAAGTCCATAATCAAGATTTAAGATTAGTATATCAGTTAGGAACTGATTGAATTTCACATAAAATTATCTAGCCTCCTTATCTTGAAATGCATGCTAAGCAGTTGGCCTTGATCATAGAGTATTTTCTTGTATTTCTGTTGAAATATTGTATTGTAGTTACTAGCTATGTTTAACTTTTTTGGAGATAAATTCTGTAGTGAAATTTTCAGGGCTAAATTTCAAGGGCTAAAAGAACATAAATACATTTTGGTGACTTGAAGAGACATTTCTGTATCTGGGCCATATGTAGCTACTCTGCATTTTGAAATTCATCCTTCAGTTTTAGAAAACTTGGAGATTTCTTGAAGAACAGAACAGCTTTTTACTTTAAATATATTCATATGCATTATATGCAGTGGTCATAGATAACCATAAATTATTGAACAGTAGAGAACCTGTCTATCCCTCCTAGAGATAGGCATCTTAAACTCTGAAGGAACAGCCATCCATAAATCTAAAAGAGAAGTAAGGTGGGTCAGTCACTCTGGCAAAGGTCTGAAAGATTCTTTATCACTCCTCAGATCCCATAAGGACCAAGGGGCCAGACTCCCTTTAGTGATGTGACTGTTGGAGAGATGTGTCCTTTCTTAGGTTAAAAAGCAATGATCTTCCTATGCAGCCTTTTAGCTCCGTACTGTCTACAGTTCAGCCCCATACTGTGTCTATAGTTTAAACAGTTCACACAACCACTGTGTGATCCTTCTTACGTTAAATGGCTCATTCATAACCACAGCCAGGCTGAAAGTATCCAGATAAAGTTTCATCCAATTAAATTAACATTGGGACAAGAAAATGTCCAAATACAGCAGAGTTATTCCTGGGGTCCTCATAAAGGACTATTTCAGGGTTTTTTGCAGGGTTTTTTTTTACTCTGAACAGTAGGTAGAACACATTCAGTCACCCTTCGTATGAGAGTTAAATTATTCACTCTTGAGTTATACACAAGTCCAAGTTATGTTTCAAAGGACTAAATTATCCCTCGAAATTTAGCCCTGAAAGGCTCACTGTAGGATCTATTTCCAAAAAAAATGTTACAGTTGGATTCTTTTTCTATGTGGGCACATAACTAGTATCTGTAGTGCATTATTTGTCCCATTGTCTTTGGGATGTGAATTTTTCATGCATATAAACTGGTTTGAAGAAGCAAAGTTATCATTGAAGATAAGTACAGGAAAATGAGGAGGGAAAAGAGAATTTTTTTTCTTAGTTAGAACCAGAAGGCCTTGTTTACTTTTGCCAATAAGTATGGATTAATCCACTTCTATTTGTGCTGAGGTCAACAGCTATCTTAACGGGTAAGCTCATAAGAGACTTCACTCATTGATAATACAACAACAATAATAATAGTAGTAGTAGCATGTGCAAAATAGAACTTCTCCCACACTGAATGAGAACTGCTCCAAGGCCTCCCCAGGCGCGTGGTTCTCCAAGCAGAAGGGCAGTGGGTGTCCGCAGAGTCTGCCTGCTTGCCTCTTTGCCATGTTGTTTCTCACTGTGTTCCTTTGATTCTGAACCTGATCCCAGCAGCGTAGCGCATGGTCAAGGTGCACGTTCAGATGCTGCTTCTGCTGTTTCTGGTGTCTTGACAAATGCCTGTGCCACCTCAACCAGGTATGTATGTCTCTCACCGCGTGCCCCACAGACACATAAGGGTCCGCAGGTGGGCGCCATCTCTTAGGTCAGGGGTTGGCGAGTTTTTCTGTAAAAGGCCTGATTGTGTAAATATTTCAGGCTTTTTGAGCCATTCAGTCTCAGTCGCAATTACTAAATCCTGCTATGATGGTAGGAAAGCAGCCATAGACAAAGTGGAAATGAATGGGCATGACTATATTCCAGTAAAACTTTATGCATGGGCACCAAAATTTGAATTTCATGTGATTTTCATGTGTCGAGAAATAGTCATCTTCTTTTGATTTTTTTGAACTATTTCAAAAATGTGAAAATTATTCTTAGCTCTGGCCAGAGGAAAGCAAGGTGTCTGATAAATCTGGTTCCTAGGCTATAGTTTGTAGACCTTTACCTTAGAACTTTAGATCATTAAAGCCATTCTCCACATTTTGAAAGAAATGCATTTCTCTTTCCAGAAATAAAAGAGGGAGGAGGTTTAGAAGTCCTAGCATGATGAATGTATATCAACTGAGAGCTAATTTTCAGTGTCTTCTCTAAGAACTATAATTTTCCTGAAGTAGGAAAAGAATTGCCTCCCTAATTTTTATGTATTTCACCAGTCTTTCCCTTTCAAGCTATAAATATTCCCTTAAATATAAAAAAAAATTACATACTGTGCACCAGATATTTTTCTCTCCTGTGTCTTTCAAATTGATGGATAATTTAAATATATGCTTTATTTTTCTGTAGATAACTCAGGAAAATAATAGCCTTTAGTCTAGTTTACACAAAGCAGTATGTTTTTAAGTCAGCAGACTGTTTTATAATATAAATGTGTACAGAAATCTCACTTAGAAAAGCACTTCTTCTTATTGCCCCGCTTCCTAATAAATGCCTGGTAGAAGTAAAGGGACTAATTAAACCAGACATTTTTAATATCTTACAAGTGGTATTAAGAATACCTTTTATTATTAAGTGGAAAGTGTTGTCTTCTTATAGTAAAGCTCTATTTTTTAAGCTTTTCTTAAGAACCATTGAGTGCATTTTAGAGTGTATTTGGTTTGCATTTGGATTGCTTCGAGCCAGCCTGTATAAAACACAGTGAAATACCGTAGTACCTTCCAGACTGGTGGGTCATTTGGCAAGTCAAACCAAACCCTACAATTGTCTTGCCATGGTGTCTATGTCAGCCTCTGTCTTCCTGGAACTGTGGGCATATTTCTAGACACCAACTTATCCACAAAGATTTTGAGATTCATTTCAAAAATATACTATGATAAAACATATACATGAAAACCAAGGCTAAGAAACATGCAGATAGACCAGAAAGACAAGACAAAACAATGGAAACTTCGATATGCAAATATGTTGGCCACAATGTCCTAGAAGGCCCTAAAGGTGATTTGCCATCCCCTCTCACTGTGTTAATGTAAATTCAGGTTCTTTCCCTGGCCCTCTTTTACTTACGGTTTTCATACTGCCCCATGGAAGCCTAGGGGCTCCTTGTGAATGCTGTAGGAACCTCCACTTTAGGAGGGGAGAGAAATGGGCAAGGAGGAGGAAGAGGGGGCTCATACGACCACCACCCCACCCTGCCTTCTAACCAGAGCAGCTCCACTTTTATCTGGTTTAGAAGTGGGGTTCCACTGTAAGTTTCACTTAATGACAGGACTCTGCTGCTAAAACACTTTGAAAACCACTGTCATGTTCATGTTTGTTTTCTCTACACTGTTATCCTAAAGGACATATGTTATGCATTCATATTTCTGTATTCTAAAATTTCATCACTTATATTAACTCAGTACCTTTACGTTGGGAGTTCAAAATGTTTCTAAAATCTTAAGTAGCATTAATGTTAACCACACTATAATTACCATCATAAAGGTGAGGAATCCTTATAATAGATGTGCAAGGGGAGTGATTGTCCCTGAATCACAAAAAGGCTCAGCCAGCCTGGCTCCAGCTCCTACCCAGTCGGTGTTGGAACAGGCTTAGGTCCTTCAGGTACTGATCATGATGCCCGTGAACTAGGCCTTGGCCTAAACAAGCTGTCAGAGCACCTTTAACCTGTGGTGGCTCCTCTAGGACAAGGCAGTACCAGCTGATGTGAACACTGCTGGGAGGGACCTAAGGTTTAGAAGATTGAGAAAGAAAAGGAGGAAAAATAGGCATGAAGGAGAAGGAATCGGTATGAGTATTGATGGGGAAGGAAAGGTCACTCGACTCCACTCCTAGAAAGTAGAGTGAAATAAGGTTTTAAGAATAAATATTCTTACTGTATACTGGTGATCTCATTTAGCAGCAGATGAAGGAAAGTGAGCTTTAACTCTGAGCAGGAACTTAAGTTAGGCTTTTAAAAAATTTCCTGGCACTGGAATGAGTTCGTAGGGGAAGATCTCTCTGGATATCAGATTTAGAAGAGCTAAGGTCTATTTTATTTTTCTTGTTTTGTGCAATAGAAGCTGGAAATGCTAAATGAGGATGAGATCCATTTGTTGCTTTTAGAACCCAGAGGCTCATCTTTACTTAATATCAGGGAGCTGGTTGTGTTTCACCATTGCTATGTAAAAACCTAGCCCAACTTCACTAGTCCTGGGAAGGAGGCAGGGGGCAGTTACTACATTTTATAGACACTGAGCCTAAAGCTGCAGAGTAATTCCCTGGCAGAGTGGGTGGAGAAACCCCACACCTCATCATTTCCTACTGCTAGTCTCTCTGCATCATAAACACCAAATGTATGTATACCTGAGAAAAATTATGTGTGTACTTCACAGATTTATTATCCAACAACTAGTCATTTATGCTGTATTCCAACCATTTGAACCCAGGCATAATTGAGGAGGGGACTCAGGTGAAACAAGTCCATATACAGCAAAACCTGACAAGCTGGTTTGGGGACTAGGGAAACAATATGAGGTATTTGCATGAGGCATTGTGCAACAGTACAGAGATGCTTACTTAAGTGCTGGCATGAGGTCTTCAGAAGTTAGGAAAAGGGGAATCTCAGAAGTTGGGGAGGTACTTTGACTTGATAATTAAGAGGGGTTCCATAGGAGAAGTTGGGTTTGTCAGAACTGAGTAAAGAGCACATACTGGAGGTCACCAGCTAATAACGATAGCTGTGGACTCTTGGCACTCACTATGTTGCCAGTTGTACGCTAAGCACTTTTCCTGCATTATATCAGTTGTTAGCTTTCTCTGCTGCCCTTTGAATCATATCTCCAGTTTACAGATGAGGAAACTGAGGCTTAGAGAGGGCACATAGTTAGTAGCAGAAGGATATCATTTTTGCCTCTGGGACCTAAACCCTTAACCACTCTGCATTTTTAAGCAGCCAGAGAGGAAGTCACAACCGCTGTCTGGAGTGAATCTCTTCAGTGCCTGTCTAAGCCAGGGTCCAGACAATTCAGTTTTCTGGCAGTTGAGCAAAGCTTGTTACAGGGCACATTTTTTTTTGGAGGAGAACAAGAAAGGAGAAGGAACACTGAAGGGGTTGATAGATGAATCATGCCCTTACAGATCCAGAAAAGTGTTGGGGGTGGGGGTGGGGTTGTGGTCAGTCCCACCTCCTCCCCTCAGGCAAGTCAGTGTCAAAGCTTCTGGGGTTCCAGGCTTGCAGTTTGCAATTTCCAGTCAAGGGAATTGTGCAGCCTCCCTCTCCCTCCCAGCACTTCCCAGAAGCCTAACTGAGAAATCACCCAGTGGGACTCTGCAGGCCAACCAGTCAGCAGGAATGGTATGCCTCTTACTGTTGCTTGTAATGTCCACACACAGTTCCTTGTGGAAATCTCCTTAAGTCGATATCTCTTGTCCACTGAGGACACAGGCATCTGTCCCAGCTTTGATGTTGGGTTCTAGGTCAGTGTTCCTCTAAGTTTGAAACCCACGGATGGGCCACAGGACAATTCCTGATGGTTCTGAACTGATATGAATATTCCAGAAGAATATTGTTTCTTCATTTCTTACAGGCAAATAGCAGGATTTCATGGACTTTCATTTTCTCCTATAACAAAGGGCTACTAACTAATCATTAAAGCATATAGTGTGTTACTGAAGCTTACTAAAATGCATTATTTGTGAACCAAAATTGGTGTTTTTACTTAGTTTACTGAGGACTCAAATTCATTATTCTATTAAGATGTCCAGCTGCCAATGCAATGCCTGGCACTGGCACCCCTGCAAAGCTTGTGAGTGTGCCCACGCAGAGAGATGGGATTTTGCAAACTGGGGAGAGAATGCTTTGCCATAGGTGCACCACCAGAGTTGCCTTGGGTTGGCTCTGTTTTTCAATTGCAGTTACTGTCATTAACCTCTTACTGTTGTTGATTATTTGGCTCTTGTTTAGTTAATTATGTTTTTTATCATGTTGAGCATCACATTCCTCATCAGTCCTGTGTCTGTCCAGCAGAAGGGGGAATGAGTGCAGGAAGGGAGCTATAGGCTGAGGTCAAACAAGTTCAAGAATGAGGAGCACCTATGGAAAGGTAACTCCTGGTCAGGCATAGCAGCCGTTGGCTTCTGCCTTCTTTGTGGAACTTGAGTGAATCCTCCATATTACTGAGCATCCACAGAATGAGAGAATTGACTTAGATGACCCCAGAGTCCTCATGCAGCTTTCTGACCCTTGTGGTGCTGAGCTGGGAGCAGTGACATGTGTGTCCGCATTGCTGCTTCACAGTTGTGATATGCTTTGTGTGGGATGTGGAGCAGAATGAAAAAACTAAAGTCCGTATCTTCCTGTTGTGTTCCAAACAACAGTATCATTTTTTTCATGTTGTCCTTCTTGTCCATGGTGAGCACTTACCCGGGGATTACAAAAGTCAGCAAGTTTTTATGTTGCTCTGATGTCAAGCTTCCAGAATCTTGTGGAAGGGACTGAGAATGTGAGTGGACAGAGAGGAGCCATCTATCTGCAGTCTGTCTGCATCTATCTCCCAACACTACTGTTACATAGCGGTAACAGGAAAAAAAATAAAATAACCAGTGATGAGATTCTGGTAAAA